AGAAAATCACTGGTACAAACAGAATTCAGCTATTTAATCCTTTGGCCGCTCGTGGCGTTTCTCGAATTCAGTCAAATTTTTTAATGCCCCATAGCCGAGCCCATAGCTTTCTTAGTATGTACCGAGGTATGTACTAAAGATAATTGATTTTGTCAAAATCTTTCTTAGAGCATTTTTATGTAGAATCCATCGTGATTTTTATTCAGGGTGTGGTTGGTTTTTTATACAACCCTAATTTCATTTTTTCATACGAACCATCCGATATATTTTGGAATTTTTGAAAAGAGCGAAAAATTTTCTAAATTTTGTATATATACATACTACGTTGAGACCTAACCTACACACTGGGAATCCCACGATTTCCCTCTCTAGCTAGCTCAGTTGTAATTAATGAAAAAAAATTTTTATCCGCATCTCAAGGTCCAGCTGGATTCTGCCACCCTACAGCATTCCAACAATGACATAAATAGGTGGCTTAACCAAATCCTTAAATTCCAATATGAAACTTTACCCCCAGATTTAATCAACTTGAAACAAAGTAAGAGACGCCGACAATTACCTCTCTTTGACTCTAATAAACAAAACCTGGATTGCAATGACTGGTTTAATTTCAGACAAAAAATTGCGTAAATTTCTGTTTTACAAATTGTTACAATTTTAAACAGATAAATGACACACAAAAAAAAACAAATTACTCAAACATTACAAAAAAAACAAGACAAAACAAAACACTAACTACTACTTACTTTTAAAATTAGTCCGAGTAACGTACTCCGATAAAAAGAGGTATCCGTACACAAACACGCAAACCAAACACTCAAACCCGACGTCTTCTCTCTTCGGGTACCCACAAATTCAAAACTTCCGTGTTTCCGCAAAATAAAAAAAAACAGGACGACGACAAACTTCTTAAACTTCTCAAAAATTCTTCTTAAAACGGCAGACACAAAATTCTAATTAAACCTGGATCCAACTACGCAAGAAACTTCCACAAAATTCAAAAATAACGTAACCGAAGAAGCGCCGGTTGGCTTTGTCACGACCAAAAAGCCCCGCTCTCTTCAAAAATTTTCTTTTTAAGCCAAAAGCCCTTCTCCTTTCTTCCACATTCCGCCCGCCAATCACGCGAAGCGTCGAATTTTCAACTTCTTGCTAAACGGCACGTACGCCCGGCAATTCTGCGAAGACAACCTTATCTCTACTTCGCGCTATACCTCGTTAACGGCAAATAAAATTTAAAAAAGAAATTTACATCGAAAAAAATTCTAGGAATAAAATAAAAACAGAACACTTCTAAGAAATTGAACCAAAACTATAACATGAAATTTACGCAATCCTGTGTCTCAAATTATTAATAACCCCCCGGTTAATTAATTGAACTAAACAAAATTGTCACATCCAGACGCTCTATAATTTCTTTCAAGTTACAACTAAAACAAAATAACACAACAATACATATCTTTCCTCTTCTACCTTACGGTGTCGAGGTACCACTTCTCGGCCTATAGCTAAGATCAAAGAGTAGTAAATTTTGATGTACCTATCACTTGTTATATTTACATAGTATTAAATACCTACATATATTAAAATCGAGATTAAAATATTTTTATTGCAGACATCTAGGTTTCCATAGCAACAAAGATGGCAGGATTGTTTAAAACGACTGGTTATCTGGATATTTTTATTAGTTTTATTTATTAAAAAAAACATGTGCAATTAAAATATTTTAATGTGTAAAATGCGAGGTAAAATGCAATATTGCAAATAATATTTAATATAAATACGAGTGGTACATCAAAATTCGGAAAATGTTCGCTCTTTCAAAAAACTCCAAAATACAGGCTGATTCAGATTCGAGTGCCACCATGGGGACCTCGGAAACTGTAAGAGGTAGGCGGGTAGTTTAAATTTGGCAAAGTTGCGTATTTTGATGCTTAACAAAATGCCTTTCAAATTCCGACTACTTTCCGAGAAAAAAACGAAATTTTGCTAAATCGTTTTTATTTTTACTGAAATGTTTAGATCGGAGTTCTTGAATTGGCAATGTAGGCCCAAAAATAAAAAAGGGCCGAGCCAGACACCTTTGTCCATTTTCTTCTATCCCTTAAAATAAAGAGTGTTTCCATAAGAAAAAGAAAGTGTGCAATTTGGACGATCCTGTACATTGTCCAAAATTCATATATTTTCTTTAAATTTCCCTAAATCACTTCCAAAATTTCTTATATATAGACTAGGTGCATGTAGCGATTCTAGTAATTTAGTGCGCTTGATGTATAATAATAATAATAATAATAATAATAATAATAATGTCTTTTATTAAGTTACATACACACAACACAGTAAAAAATAAACTAAATGACATATTTCAAAATTAAAGTAATGCAACTTAATGGGCGAAGTTCAGTTAGTGAAGGCGACTGCCTCCAATTCTGCTCTTCCACTTAACCCAATCATTTAATAAATAATTACAGAAAAGATTTAACACAATACACAATGGCACAATTCATGACTCAAATAATAATAATACTCAAAAAATAAAATAAAAACAATAAAATAAAAAAAAATGCGTTGAAGCGTTAATATACTTCTATGATGTGGAGTATTAAATTAATGCAAATAGTTACATTGCCTGTTAAACATGGTCTGGCGAATTAATTTTTTTAATTTAGAGGTATTTCGTTTTTTAAGTACGTTATCAATTGCGTTATAAGTATTCCCTATACAGTAACTAAAGGATCTTTCATAGAACGATGTTTTATGGCAAGGTGGTTTAATTAACGAAACAAATCTAGAATTACTGCTAAATTCAATTTTATTGGATAGATAAAGTGGTGTTCTGGACGTGACAATTTTATGATATAAAACAACAGAATGTACATATCGCCGATTTCCCATATTTAACCAATTTAAGTCTTTTAATTTGTGGGATATGTGTTCATATTTTCTTATACCATAAATTAATCTCAAGCAAGAGTTTTGGATTTTTTGAATTCTATTTACGTCGGCCAAATCTAAACAAGGACCGTAAAGAGCGTCGCAGTAATTGAAATGTGATAGAACCAATGCCTCACACAGTATAGTTCTGACATGTTGACTCAGACTGAAACGATTACAAAAAATTAATTTTAAATTAAGATAAACTTTTCTAATCATTTCCGACACCTGTTTCTTAAATCGTAAGTCTATGACAACACCCAAACACTTTACGCTGTCTTTTACAATTAATTCAATTGTATTAACCCTAACCTCCAATTGAGACTTAATCTGCTCTCTCATTCTAGACTGCCCAAACAGAATTACTGATGACTTAGCGGAGTTGATACGCAAACCATGGCTTTCAGCTGTAGTAATTAAACTGCATATGTCAGTATTCAGTATCTCATTTGTACGAATTACATCATTGCTACTGAATTCATACTGGAGCAGTGTGTCATCCGCATATTGATGAATTTTAGTCTCAGTTAAACTTTTGTAGAAAGTAAAGGTATATAATATAAAAAGTAATGGACCAAGGACAGATCCTTGCGGCACACCAGCCGTTATATGAGAAGATTTTTTCCCAAGTAATCATAACAAGTTGCGTTCTATTTTCCAAATAATTGCGAATAAGCGAGGCTGCTTCCGAACTAAAACCAACATAATGTAGTATGTATGACTTTCAGACCTTTCCACACATTTTCAAATTTCGAATATATCTCCCATATTTGCTAACATCCTTCACCAATTCCAAGTTATTTACAAAATTTTATACACATTTCTAAAATTCAACTTTTGACATTCTTTTCTTTGCTCTATAAGAAAATTTTGCTTCGAACACGAACACTTAAAACTTAAAGTTTCGAATATAAGCGCAATTTGTTTACTCCAAAAAAATTCGAAAAAGTCCTGCTATTGTCATTGTGGTCCATCCTGGCTTTGTTTCTCATTGTCCCAATCAGTTATCTTTCCAGCTCACTTCTGTTTTCATTCTCAGTTATGTTTCGCAGGCTTTTTTCCAACCCCTTCCTATACTAATTATCTGGATTTGTCAAAGTGTGATTCAACGCGCTTGCGTCTCGGCTTGCGTTCACCATTGACTGTCATTAATTCAAATTTAAAAGTCTGGATTTGTCAAAGTGTGATTCAACGCGCTTGCGTCTCGGCTTGCGTTCACCATTGACTGTCATTAATTCAAATTTAAAAGTAAATTATGTCTCGCGCTTCAGAAGAGCAAAAACCCATGCTACTATTTGCATTAAAAAAAAATAAAAACCTAGTGACAGGGAAAATATCCCCTAATTTTACGAATAACGGTATAGAGGAGAAGTGGAAGGCAGGTACGGTGACTTTGAATAGCACTGGCGAGGAAAAATTTCCGCAAAGTGTCAAGAATATACGAAATTATGAAAATAGCTCGACATGACGTCATACGCACTCTCTTCAATGCGGATAAATATCTTTTAGGGGGTAAATTTGTTTATTTCTCACCTTCCTCTATTAAAAAGTAAGCACATAGTAACACTAAAACAGATAATTATTATTTATCACATACTTGTACTCAATTTTATAACATGTAAATTTATAACAGGAGCGCGAATTTCATTATTTATCACTTGGGCATTAATGTTGGAACTCCCATTAAACACAATTCAGTTTGCTTATATAGCAAACCGAAAACTATATAAATGTAGACTAAGCTTATCGTATTTTCTGAACAGAATGCGTCACATCTGCTTTCAATTCGTGTTGCCGGTGACTAATCCTTTAGCCATTTGGTGGCGACTGATGGTGGTCAACACATAGAATGTGAAAATGCATGATTATACTGTTTCTAATGGTAACACCGAACAATTTTCACTCAAACATATTTAGAAATTCACAGTTTTGTGTACGCACTGTTCTTGTAGGTAATAATTTGTGTTTTCTAATGAATTTTAAAAGTAAAAGAGGGGTAGTTTTAACTATATACATACGTGTGAACAACATATGCGAACATATCTCTAAATTCTATTTTGTTTCAGGAAAAATGCAGACGTGTTAGAAATCCGCCGACGTTATGCTAATCTGTACGTGCCGTCCGATTTTTTCAGTAGCTATTTTCGTTGGGTCGATGCGTTTCCTGCCGATAAACAGTTTTCCTTAAGTAAACCGTCATTATTTCACATAATGCATAAAGATGTAGATCCATTTGCTACCAATCAATCAGTGCTTGAACCACCTGATGCGGATTATATATTTTCTGCCAAGGTAGAAGTGACACAGTGTTATTCATTTTAATAGGCAATAGTTGTTTAGGTAATGTTAATGAGCGTACCAGGCATGGAAGATATTTACCAGAAATGTTGTGCAATGGCCGAAGATAAAGATAAACGAGATCGTGATAGTGAAGAAAGAGACTTTGTTCATCCGACGAGACTAATCCAATTTTTAGTCGGTCTTCGTGGGAAAAATGAAACGATGGCTATTGGTGGTCCATGGAGTGCATCTTTGGATGGGGCCTGTCCAGAAAGTGATCCATCAGTTTTAATCAACACTGCCATTCGAACCTGTAAAACTTTGACAGGAATAGATCTTTCTCCATGCACGCAATGGTATGTAAAGTATATAAGTATAAGAATATATTGCACGAGTATTCTTAGGAGCCTTCCTAAACGTAAACATATAGAGATGTTTCGGCTAGATGCACAGATATCTTGAATGCCATGCAATTTTGTACTTGTAGAGCTAAGATAATCTGGTACATATATATCAACAGAAAAGCGTAGATTTTTAGCGCATTTTCCAACAAAAGTGAGCCACTTGTCCGTTCATCCGAGGTCTTAACTACTCCTACAGTTTTCAATGCATGTAGTTCATTGTTTTTGTATATAGTTACTAGTACAGGCAACGAAGACCGAAAAAGACAGAATAGAGGAAAAAAATCATGTAGAAGCCAATTTTGGCTCAGATGTAGGGGAAGGTATCCTGGACAAGATACTAAAAGTACTGAAGGGTGGGTAAAGCTAAGAGAGCGAGTAGGGATTAAAGGTCCCTTTCTCTAATTTTGGAATAATTTGGAAACTGTTGCTCCTAATAAAATCAGACAATTAAACAGCATAAATTTATCTACAAAATGATATAGCACAGTATGTAAGTAATAATAATACTTAATGAGATACAGAGGGAAGAAAAATGGACATTTTTAAAATGTTAGCCGGTATGCACGAATGGAAAAGCTCTTACCAAAAATTTCACTCATATAGAAGAACTTGCTATGACATTCACCAATCAATCCCACTTCATCAGAGGAGATCGAGCAAGCTGAGGAGAAAATGTTTCTAGCCATATTTCAAGCACCTCCAGAGCAAAACCTAAGCAAACTACGTTACAGAATGATTCTAAAAGCCTCTTCGAAACCTAAGTCTGATTTCGCCACTCCTCCACCACGAAGTTATAAATTAAGATGGACTGCTGATCAAACAGTTACATAGAGGTTGAAATGGCCCTAACATGGGCGCGGGCATGATGTGCACGTTTTAGTTATTTTCTAGGGGAATTTTCCTAGTGCTCAAGTTTTGAGACTATTGCAGCCTTGGAAAATGACATGTGACAGTGACAGTAATTTATTTAGAAAAACGTGAGGTTAATGCTTATTTTAGTTGATTTTGAATTTCGCGCCAAGTGAGTGCACATCATGGCTGCTCCCATGTAGGCATCATTTGTCAATTCAGCATTAGCAGTCCATCTTAATTTATAAGTTCGTGTTTTCCACCCACCAAAGGAGCTGCGTAACAGCACTGTTGTTTTCATTTTTTCTTCCCTCTGAATCTCATTATTATATTACTTATACACGGTGTCCATTTTTCGAGTGCCACTATGGGGATCTCACTTATCTTAAGAGATAGAAAGTTGGTTAAATGGGGGCAAAGTTGCCAATTTTCGTGCCGAATAAGAATCTGAAAAGAAATTTGAAATATCTTCAATAGTTTTGAAGATATCGCAAAAAAACGAAAATTTCTGATTTTCGTTTTTAATTTTTTTATGATAATTTAATCGTAGTAGACATTTCTAATTAACACATTATTCGGACACTTTTTAATGGAGATTTCAAATATGGCATCCTGTTTTTAATAACTTTCAAGATGTTCATCAAGGTCGACTGGCAATGTTTTGTAAATTTCATTTTTCATTTTTCCCCACAAAAAATATTCCAAGGGAGACAAGTCAGGTGACCGCGCCGGCCAGCGTACGTCGCCATTATTGGCAATAACATGATTGGGGAACAATTCCGATAAGCATTCCCCAACCCTCCTAGCATTATGGGGCGGTGCGCCATTTTGCTGGAACCATATCGAGTTTAAACGATGAAGAGGAACGTTATTGTCAATAAAATCGGTTAGAAATGTCCTCAGGAAATGGAGGTACCGACCAGCATTTAGAGTCTCCTAAGGACCAATTATTGTATCGCCCAATAAACCGACTCATACGTTAACGCTAAAACGTATTTGTGGTCGTCGTTCTTGAAATTGATGAGAATTTTCAATTGACCAGTAATGTTCATTGTCAAAATTTCAAAATTTTTACCGCTTGCAAAATTGCCTGCTCCCTATTCATTGGGTCTATCACCATATTACTGTCTACATCTTATAAAAGAACCATATTCGCCCAAGTTTTTATGCAGCAAAGAAAAATACCTCAAAGTAGATTGTTGCTGCTCTGTATAACGCTGGAAGTATGTTGCAGCAGCCATGTGGGCATTTCGATGAGAAGTGTAGTAACTTTGATTCATATCTCTTTGATCTGCACTTGAAAAAGGCATTTTCGCATACAACTAGCATAAACTTAAATGGCACTACATGAAATCAGTCAACCTTTTGTTCACAACAAAAGGACGTTTTCTTTTTCCAAAGCACTCTTCTCAAAAAAATAAAAAATTGTATTTTTAGGAAAAATGTGATACTGAACCACCCTGTTTGATATATCGTTGTAAAGAGAAAAAAAGACGTAATCTCAAAATGTGGAAATTCAAAATGGCGCCCATAAGAAAAACTAAAGTTGCCACGTGTTTCTCCGTCATCTTGAAAGTTATTAAAAACAGGATGCCATCTTTGAAATCTCCATTAAAAAGTGTCCGAATAATGTGTTAATTAGAAATGTCTACTACGATTAGTTTATCATAAAAAAATTAAAAACGAAAATCAGAAATTTTCGTTTTTCTGCGATATCTTCAAAACTATTGAAGATATTTCAAATTTCTTTTCAGATTCTTATTCGGCACGAAAATTGGCAACTTTGCCCCCATTTAACCAACTTTCTATCTCTTAAGATAAGTGAGATCCCCATAGTGGCACTCGAAAAATGGACACCGTGTATATTGTGGTATATCATTTTGTAGATAATTTTATACTGTTTAATTCTCTAGAATAAAATGCTTAATCAGGGGCAACAGTTTTCAAATTATTTACAAAAAAACTAAAAAAAGGGACCTTTAACCCCTCCCCCTCTCTTAGCTCACACCCCACCCCTCAGTACTTTTAGTATGTTGTTCAGGATACCTGCCCCTACATCTGTGCCAAAATTGGCTTCTACACGATTTTCTTCCGCTATGGTTCCTTCGTTGCCTGGACTAGACCGTCAAAACCCAATTTCAGTAAAAATCCGAATGTCCTAGGAATAACCAGTTTTAAATATGCTAAACCTAGAATTATCAAATATGTTCAGTTGATTCGGGTTTTAACTAAACATATTTTCGTTTAAATTAGTTCTTTTTAGTAAATGTTGAGTAAAACTTGAACTACTTTGCATATTTGAGTTTTGTTTGGTAATTAGATTTCGGTGTTTTGGTATTTCAAAGAACGTATGGGGTATTAATTAATAATTGGTGATAACTTTTGTACAACCAAAATATATTTTCTTATGCCCACATTAGGAAAATCATTATTGTACAAAATAAATAAAATTTGTTAAGCCGTTTGTCAGCAAGAGGCGAAGAGTGCACTTTCAAATTTGTTTTTTCGATTTTAATAGCCATCATGGAAATCTCATGCCCTAACGAGAATACAAACATGAAATAATTTCTGAACGAATGACACCAATACCAAGTCTGTAAGTGGTGTAGTTCCGGAGCCTTTGTGACTCAGACAGACAGACATCAAGAGCGCAACAGTGAACTTTTTATTTTTTTAAAGTAAGGTGCACTAAAAAATACAGACACCAAACTTTGCCCCCATTAATTCACTTCATTTCTTTATCATTTCTGAGAAAGCAAAGCATCGAATTGTAGCTTAATTTTTGAACGTGCCCACAGTACAGTTTTTCGACTATTCTATGTTTTGTTCCAATGTTGTGCAGACCATCTTCGTTTTTGTCAAGCATCACTCTGATTATCTTTCGCAGATCAGCTTTTGCCTCGGCTTTTGCCGTGTCACGATTTGCAATTGGTAGAATAATGGTATCGCCTTTTTCCACAAGAGTGTGGAGAGTATCAGAAACTAATTTCATTTTTTGGCTTGTTTTTTTTTTAAATTTTCATGCGTTTATTTTCTAGTGGCGAAAATTTCCATTCTCCATGAGAACTGATGTCTTCACCTCCTGAGCAACGCTTTGATGGTCATCTTTATCAGTTATTTCTTCTTTCTTTCAAAGTGTAAGACCCGACTAAATAATCTGGCTTATTTATTTTTTCACTATTTAAACATTAAATTTAAACATATACAAATTTCGAAATGCCTGTGTAACAAAAAAATTCATATTTAAAAAAATATAAGGGTTGATATATCCCCGCTTTCCAGCGTACCTCAAATACCTACCCAAAAATGTCGACCATCTCTCCTACCGTAATAGTATTTGCGATTTATAAATCAAATTTTGTGATATTGAGTGAAAAAAATTGTTAAATTCACGTCTAAACAATTAGGAAAATCGCATCACTTTATATAATTTTATTTCAAACTGTCAAATTAAGAGAATCCGTCTAAATTATCTTCAGAATATGGGTTAGCGTACATATACATCAAACTAAATCAGCTGTATAATAATCTGACGCGGTCAAGTAAGTATTTCAAAATTGCAATTTTTTTACATTTTCAAAAATCCACTCCAACCTTTCGGTATGTTCAAATCGTTAGTCGTTTGAATGGGAATTTTTTTGGGGTTCATCTAACATCCCCTCTAAATATCTGAAGTACTCAAATAAATCCCGTTTTTTGCCTTTCCCTACCTACAGCCTCCGGCAGATTAATGTACTTCCAATATCAGACACGTGAGGCATATACAGGGTGTAGTATCCCTCGGATCATAATTCCTTTACCATAAAAGATACCAGAAAAAGGCTTGGATCAAAGTTGTACACAATTACCGTCGCAATGTTTCTAAAATATTTTTGATGACCAGGGGCGTGCTGTATTCCAGTGGCGTATCAAACTTGCATTTTTTTTTTACCTAACTACTGACAATTGATTTTAATGCTCTTCAAATAACCTAAATAGATTTTTTCTCTACAATAATTAGGGAAGCCAATAATTAACCTCCTTAATTTACATGTGATTTCCTATGTCCCGCGTGTCGATGCAACGCGCTGTATACATTTTTCCATTAGTGAAACACTCCTAGGCTATAACGCTAACACACTGAATTGCATCGACAAGATTCAAATTTTTAATGAATAAAAACGTGCTTTTGCTGAGTGTCTTCTTTGCGAGTGCATTAACAAAATGGTCCTTTATTCAACTGGATACTTTTGCCTAAGTGTGGCAATTATTATGATCTTGTAAGGAGTGTCAATGAGCTCAGTAATTGCATTAAGAATTGAGGTGATAGAGGAGTCCACACTGTAATTGTAGAGAGATGAGAAAATAAAACCTCACTATATACAGGATGTTCATAAAAATAATGTACATACTCCAAATTTGAGCTAGGTAAATATCCCAAAAACTGCAGGAGAGATATAGAAAAAACTTAGAAATTAGTGAAACCTGGAGTGAAACTATAACACCCTGTGGATTGGTACCAAAACACTTGCTATGTTTATATGAACTTTTAGTCGTAAAACAATGAATTATCCCTTCCGTATGTACATCATTTTATGAACACCCTGTATAAAGAAAAACCACTCATAATTATGTTAAAATTTGGTACATCTACTCGACAAATTCAAACTTATGAAATGCTATCTTGGACTCCTTATGATTTTGGCTTTTAAACCAAACATGGTAGCTTCGGCATAAAGTTCAAATTTGAATAAAACCAATATACAGTAATCAAATATGTTAGGGAAATGTCTTAATGGACGGGAAATAAATTTTTTGACTATAATTTTTCAGTATCAAATCTTCTAGTTGACCTCACAATTTTTGTGTCAAATTTCGATCATAATTACAAATCAAATTTTTCATTTCTTTTCAGGTGGCTTACAGTTTGATTTGGAGTATTTGTAATATGAAACTATGACGTTATGTTTCAACGCGGCACTATTATTGTATAATTTTTGCACATTTAAATATTATTTCACTTTATTTCCAAATTATACCCCAATGTGTTCATTTCTTAAATGGAACAGTTTTCTTAATTAAACAATTTTCCAGCTTGTGTCTATATTAGAGTTTGCAAGGATATGTATATAATGTGTACTACATAGAACTCTTGTTAGTTTACGTTAGAATTAGTTGTGTCACATTATGTTTGTATGCGTCATCAACAGGAATTGCATGGAAGCTTCGTTTTCAAGTCTTGTAAATTTTATAGCTTTCAGCGGAGTGGAGAGTAAGTCACGTGTGCTTAGAATGTGTCTCATGTAGGCTGTGTATGATCTGCTGACCTGTGTGTTCCATTAGGTACCGATTTGTGGAGCTCTACTACCACCGCAGCGAGTCTACTCACAAGGGCAAAGTGATACCGGCGAGGGTTGAAACAGTGGTGGTCTTTCTACCTGATGTTTGGAGCTGTCTTCCAACCCGCCTGGAGTGGGATGGTCTTCAGATTCGCTACCAAAAACAGCTGGAGCGCAAGTTGAAAGCTGACCAGGAGACCAACAAGCATCCCACCACAGACGAAAAGGCATCTTACTTTATAATTAGTGTATAGATAGGCTAGGTATATGCTGACGGCTGGGCCACTCTACTCTCCAGTGCAACATTACAGTGTGTAATGGCCTAAGCTAAATTACGACTGTATTGTCTGTGATGCATGTATGGGATGAATGAATGAGTATTATATTAAATAAAAATTGAAATTAATATTATCTTTTTCTTTAGGAGGAAGAAGCTGTTAGTGAAACCAAGGTGGAACCGACTCATTATTCTCAATTGGATCCCAAAAACATGCTCGTAGATGCCCTTCGAATTGAGCTCAGAGCTAGAAATATTAGCAGTAAAGGCCTTAAATCACAATTAGTTGCTCGTCTGACCAAAGCCTTGAAAACTGAAACGGATAAAGCGGAAGATCCCGTTAAGGACAGCCCCAAGGATACACAACTCGAAGTGGCTGAGGAAAAAAAATCTGAGGTATGCTATATCCCTGGCTATGGCCCATGATAAGCTCAAATCAGTTTGTAAAACTATTGATATGTTTGTATTAGAAAGTACAGGGTTATTTCAAATTATGGACCCAATTTCAAAAATTCTTATTAAAATACAGAGTGAACATTCTACAGTGTATCCACAAATTGAATGAATTGAATTGAATTGAATGCTTCATGTTCTGAGGATTGCTCCAGCTTAATCTCACACTAAGATATTGAAAATATGAGGCCAAATCAATGAATATATAGTGTTTTTTTTTGCCGAATTCTAAAAATTAGCCAAGAGTAAACTGTCTTTATTTTAGCACACATAACTAAAATATATTAAAAAAAGGTGTTTAGAATTAAAAGATATAGAAGACCTTAAATTTTTGTACAAATCACCGTACTTCGATTTTTTCCATCAGCATCCAATACTTTTGAACTCATGATTGAAACAAAAATCAAAGCAGGCTGATTTGTATAAAAATTGAAAGTCTACCATATCTGTCAAGTGGTATGTCTAAGACACATGGTTGTTTTTACACGATTTAGTGATTTGATTGATGTGTCATGTTGATAAAAAAAATCAAAGTAGGCTGATTTGTATGAAGATTGAGAGCCTTCCATTCTAAGATTGAGTCCATAATTTAAAATAAACCAGTATTTTTCTCCTTCTGTTTGAAAGCAACATTGTAAGTTTTTTAAAGCCGCTGTGTATTTGTTAGTGAATAAACTGTTTCGATAGGGCGAAGAAAGAAAATTAGACGAAAAAGAGAAAGCTCAACTGGAAAAGCGTTACGCATTACCAGAACAGCCACACATTTTGGTCCATCCTTCGAGAACTGCCAAGTCCGGTAAATTTGACTGCACCATTATGTCGTTGTCTTTGTTATTGGATTATCGACCAGAAGATACGAAGGAACATTCATTCGAGGTTTCTTTATTCGCAGAATTATTTAATGAGATGTTAATGAGAGATTTCGGCTTTAATATATATAAAGCTTTGTGTGAACTGCCTGAAATGGCAAAGGAGAAAGACGAAAAAAAAAGAAAAGACGATGAAAAAAAAGATGATGATAAGAAGAAGGAGGAAGACAAGAAAAAGGACGAGGATAAGAAAAAAGATGAAAAAGACAAGAAAGAAGATCGTGAAAAAAAGAGTGAAGATCGCAAAGATGATAAAAAGAAGGACGAGGAGCGAAAAAAGGATAAGAAAGAAGAAAAGAAGAATGACAATCTTGATGATTCGGAGGACGAAGAGGATTATGATGAGGATGATTATAAAGATAAAAAGAAAACTGACAAAGACAAAAAGAAGAAGGAACGACCAAAAATGTTCACTAAGGATCGTAATCTTCTTCTGTCATTTGTTTATTTTGACCAAACTCACTGCGGTTACATCTTTGAAAAAGACATGGAAGATCTTTTATTTACTTTGGGGTTAAATTTGTCCAGAGCTCAAGTGCGGAAATTAGTGGCAAAAGTTATATCTAGAGATTCTTTACATTACCGAAAATTGACAGATAAACCAAAGGACGAGGATTTTATTGTTATTGATGATTCTGAGAAAGATGCTAATCTTATGGAGTTGGCTACTGGCAACAAAAAACTGTTGCCAATATTTAAAAGTAACTGCACTGCAACATCCGAGGAGAATTCGTCTAAATCTGCTGCAACTACTGATGGTACTATCGATTCATTTTTAATTCTGATTTAATCGAATTTTTTAGGATTAGTTATCTTTCGTGGTGCATTGGTTGATGTCACTAAATTAATGGCTCAGTTAGAACGAAGTGATAAGGCACGAATTCAAACAGAAGCAAGAATGATGGATTTAAAAAATGAAAATAGTAAAATCACAGAAAAATACAACAAAAGTAGCAGTAACATCCGTAGTTTAAATTCGGAGTTGAAGGAATACAAGGAAAAGTTAAAAACCTCGGAGGAGTCGTTAGTTCGAATAACGGTAAGTGATATATGTAGGTATATCGTGTTAAATAATGTTATGCCTGTAGGCATACTACCAACTATTGCAAGCGACATTGACAGATATTCGAGATAAAATTGATCCTGTTTTAAAGAGTACTATGTATTCAAAAGAAGAATCTTCACGAAAAGACAAAGACACTAACGAGAAGGAAAAGAAACATGAAGAAGGAAAAAGTAGGTGGGAAAAAAATGTAAAAGAAGAGCCAATGGAGTTGGATGCAACTGACGCATCAGAGGATACTAAACCTGCAAAAAGTGACAAATTGACACTATAACAGTCTTAGTCTTAGGTAAAATTCAGCTTTTCATACACATTGTTGTATAATTTCACTTATTTTCTTTTTTAATATAATGTCTTTCATTAATAGTGCACGTGTCAGTACTATTTCATACAAAAAATGGATTTGTTTATAAAATTGTACCTGTTCATGATTAACATTGAAAAGAAACAAATAAAGTATTCCACATGGTGGCGCGTATCTAATTTAGAAGTGTTTGATTGGTGTAACAGGGTATTCTTAGACCAAGGACTATAACAGAGAATGGAAAATTTGACCTATATTCATTTCCACATGTGCGATATTAAGAAAATTGTTGGTTGTTAGTATTGTAGTTCAAATGCGAGATGGGGATTGATATATATATAGGTATGGCATAAATGCATTGTGATCTGTAGTTTGAGCAGTTCTTGCTCACTTCTTCAGTAACCCGCTGTTAGCTGTGGTGGGTGAGACAGCTATTTAAACACCTCACTCAGCCATAGCCACAGAATGTACTAAGTATGTAATGGAACCGAATTATCCCGCTAAAATTCTATTTAAATATTCCCGAATCCGAGCCTGGCGCGACGAAAAAGGTCAAGATTGCGCGTTGTTTCGTTTTCGTGGAACACGTGTTTTTTTCTTCTCTGCTCTACATTGAAATGGGCCATAATTTACAATAAAAGTGTCAAATATTACGCTATGCGAGGAAACTTAATGATCCGTATCGACCCGTCTCGGGGCACGTTCAAATTTCGTCTAGGATTTGTTTAAACAAAAAAAAAGGGGAGAATGCGGCAGAAGTATGTGTGCTTTTGTTGAGACCAGAAGTAAATCTTTACGTTGCGAATAGTGAGTGCAGCTTCGACAATTACAAAGGTGATGTACTCGTTTTATTTATCTCTACGTCTATTGCATCCCTCTAATAATGATATGATCGTGTTCGATTATTTGCCAATTTAACTTTATTCTCGTACAGCATTGATTATTGCCATTTATAACACATTCCAGATACAAATTGCAGTTTTAATTATACTGGGCCTACTCGGTAATTACTGACCGATTTACGTGTTTTTGTTTATATTTAGATACTGTATGTTCCCTTAGGGGCGATACCCAATACAAGTATGCAGAACTACATTTTAATTTATAATTGAATTTATTGCAGCACATTTCGTTTTTGTTTACCTGAATATGTTACTGTGTATTTACAGGGTGCCTTCATCTGGGGGCGAGTGACGTACGTTAGGTGGTTGATTGTTACATATTGCACTTGGCATTGTGAATTAATTACTTGATACCAATGTTTGCCACGACATGTTCCTTTGTATTGTTGTAATGTGATTGTACTAAAATTTATGCTCCTACTATTTATTTGAACCGGGTGATTATGATTCTTAATATTTGGCAGGGTGACTTGTTTCGAATATGTACTGTGCTATATTTGATACCGATATTTAATATCTCGATTTGACGTAGCAGAGGCTGGCTAAAGTTCAGAACTGACATACGCAGAGATATATATTTTATGTACTGTTTTTTTTGTGTCTTTGAAAAGAGCCATCTTGCCGATATTGCTAATCAATTCGTTTAGTCGATCCCTGTCATGTAGTGACCGAATATTGGTTTTGTGTCAGTCTTTGTTATGCCAGTGCAAATATGTTAACTGTCAACGCCTACATGAATTGTGTATATTTTGTTTATAATTATGTATGCGTGCGAGTTTGCCGTTGGTTACTCTGTTATTTATGTTATGTCATGACTTGTCTTTTGATCGGTTATTGTCAGTACTCATGGTAGAGAGCCTGGAGTTCGGTAATTTATAACCCGGCATTTTAAGACTAGTGGGTTGGACTGGCCCTAGAGATGTGTGAATGAATGAGTTGGGGTCCCGCTTAGTCGTACATGAGGGCGCTGGCTAGGCCCGGCCTCACTTGCGCAGGGATTCGCTAAAAGCGTGTGGCGTGTTCTCGTTGTGACCTTTTGTTTTGTTAACAATTTGGGGTATCCTTCCTATGTGAAAGGCTCTTCTGAGAGGCCAACTCCTAGCGATTTCATACAATGTTGACATGTCATGACCAGAGCAACTAAAGACTACTCGGTGTGGGATTTGGACTGGCCATCCAATATCCAAACCTATTATATGAATTTATTGTAATGTTTTAATGATTGTTTTTGTGTTATGTGTGTGTAATATTTATTCTTTAGGAATTCCAGTGGAGCCTGGGATTCGACATTGTATTGCTGTACTTGACAACATGCATTCATGCCATTACAGATAACTAATTTTGCTATAAAGTTCAATATTAATTTGTTGGCTGGGTTTTTTCTTGGTCAGTTCTTTTTTTCCCAGCCTATTTTTATATTTGTACTCGGTGAACTACCATTTTCTAAATTTAATCTTGCAATGAGAATTATTTGGATTAAATCTCCGTTTTTAAAGCATGTACTTGTTTTATTTGTATTCCTTACTTGATCCTCACTCCGACAAGCAACACATATCTTGTAGCGACTCTTAAAAACACAACGTAGTAAGTGGTCCTATTATTCGGTTATTCAGGTTAGGTAGCTTTGTCTAGACGATCACGTGCCATGGGGTTCAGTTAGTTTGGGAGGGAAAGTTTTGAATTTAAATCTTGAGTTGCGCAGTCCCTCGGGGGGGGGGCTATACCAACGACAGCGCGGGCGATGCTGGGACTACCCAAATTCCTAATCAACAGAACCATAAACGCGTGGCCAAGGGAGTATCAGTATCCTAGTATACAATGGTTTTGGAAGAAAACCGAACACCAAAAGAAAACCAGGGGAATCAAACAAGGATGTCCGCTTCCCCAAGGATCTTCGGATAGCACTTGACCACGCTATAGAACAAACAGGATGGTGGTGAGGAACCTTAGCACAGGCGGCCAATTACAAATACCGACATTACTGGCGTACGCGGACGATCTACTCGTAATCGCGGATAATTTAGAAGACACTGAGGACTTCGTCCAGGCCAGCGAGGTACCAGGTACACCTGGAAATAGTGGACCTACAAATACACAACGAAAATAGCTACATGATGACAAGAGTGCCAGGAAACAACACCCCTAGTACAAAGAAGGAGAGAAGACCATAATAGCCGGGAAGGAGATAAACATGAAGCACAAGTAATGTAATGTAGTTCTCCATTTTTTGGGAGATTCGTAAAAATATTAAAAGGAGTACCTTTTAATAAGCAGCACCCTCAGCAGCAGGCACAACGCAGTGAAAGACAGAATAACCAACGCATTCAGAATCACACACGGAATCTGGAACTTCTTACGAGAGAAGAAAATACCGGAGAACTTGAAAATGATGATTTACAACACGATCATAGCACCGACAATCTTATATGGAATTAGCACTTCAGCGCTAACAAGGAGCAATAGACGAACATTGAGGAGGGCGGAGTGAAAGGCACTCAGGATACTGATGGAAAACAGTAACCTTACAAGAAATCAGAGAAGAGAACTACTAGAGAGAAAGACGATTACCAGGAGACTGAAGATGGAGCGGATGAGACACTGGGGACATACCAACAGGAGGAACAAAGACCATATCATAACGGGCTGCCAAGATTCTATGTACCTCGGAATGGAAGGTAGGCCGACCCTGCCACACATGGAACACCACCATAAACCAAACGGTAGAGGTCTCGGGGATTACATCGTAGATTTAGAAAATATATAATATTCCTCAAATAGTAGTCTATTGTTTTAAATCTATTATGTATTTTCATCATTTTAATAGATAACTAGATCGAAATGAAAGTAATTGAAATATCTTGGTGATTTGAAGTATTTTGGCTATGGTGCCTTAAGAACGTCTGTAGAGAATAATAAATTGTCATATAATGTAATTATATATAGGATGTTGCATATAAAAATGTCGCATTCTTGTTACTATCTGAAAATGCCATCTTGTTTTGTTTTTTTTATTTACAGATTTAGATTCAATAGACAAAAAAATACACAATGTTGGGCCTCCATGGAAATTCCATTTTCTTGGCACACGGTTTTTAATGGAAAGAAAAAGTGGCATTTATTTAGTTCTAAATTGTTTTTCTTTTTCGCTCCGATGACTAGTTAATTACCGAGCGAGTTGCCGAGTTAATAGGCCTTTTTGCATTGCATTGGGAGACTGAAAAATTTCATTTTTGATAAAGAGATTAAAATATGTCCAAAACGAAAAAAGTTACCAGATTCTAGTAACTTTTATGTTAGGGATTGTTCGAGGGATTGTTCCACCTGTTTGGAGATATCTGTATATATTTTTATAAAACATGACAGTACTATGAAGTTAGGTTATAAAAAATGATAGCTATTCAGATTTTATTTGTCAATTTTTTTAAGTTGGCAGCACATTTGCCCAAAAATGGCGGATGATTGCGGTACTTTCTATATTTAGTGACTTTAATACATACATATGTGGCACACCGAGTTGCACCCTATATATAGTTACCAATGGAAGTAGAGTGGTGAATGCTCGGGTGAATGCTTATACCTACTAGCATTGACTACTAGCTTGGGCACTGCCACTATTATAGACTATATTCTCTGATTGCTGTAATTACTTCCTGTCAAGATATCTGTTTTCAAATAAGATATTCCATTACTCTAAACAAAATTGTGTTGGGATTTTCTTTGTGAGACAGCAAAAATCGTATTAATTCCTTTGAAATGTAATCTAGTTCCGACTTCCAAATTATGCCTGGGTGGTTTCGTTGTGAGTTTGCTTTATTTTTTAAAATCTCGAAGGCATCCTTATATTTCTGGTGCTAAAAAAGAATGAACACTTTACCCTCGACATTACCATTGAAGATCAATATCTTACACGTCTTACAGTGTGCAGAGTACAGTTTCCATGATAATGTGCTGCAGTCTGATTCACGACATTCCACAAAAATGACATAATCACAGAATAGATGAGATTTTCACCTCGATTTTCACACTTTCCATTTTACCGCATAAATGAAGAAGATTATCCAGCGCTTTTGTTTCCTTGTTTTTCCTGAATTGCTTTCGGTAAAACGTTAATGCGCAAAAACAGCTCCCCAAGTTAGATTAAATATGTACATACCTGAACCCCCTTTATTCGTTTATAAGTAAAATAAATTAGGGGCTGAATGATGTAATGAAATTGAAAGGGTGCTCTGGATGTATCCATTTTTTACATTACCTTTTGTATAAAATAATCCTGACTTACA